TTCTCATAGGATGGATAGATTAATAAATGAAAGCATGACTTTGATCGATTAACATGATAGATTTATGATCGATAGATAGAGTATACATGGAAATAAGTTGCCATGTGCTTGTATACTAATATACCATATATTCACCACAGGCATGTCATTATAAGCCAACCGGTCATTATGGGAAGCAAACCAGTCAAACTGAATGTTGACTGTCTTCAAACGTATTCCAGTGACGGCTGCTCCTGGACGGTGGCACACGTCTACCCACGCAAAGCTAGAGTATGCCTGATGGGGCCGAGAAGAGTCATGTGTTAACATTGTTTCACAACGTCCAGGTGCCCATGGCTATCAGAGGATCTGTTGTAATAGCCAAGTAACACGGTCTGATTAAACCTGTTCACTTCCCTCTTGCATCTTGTCTGATTCCGAGGCGCGTTTGAAGTGTCGTATAGTTGAAATACAAATTTAACACACACTAAAATAAAAACAAATAGTTGTATGAAAGTGTATAGATGGGTCAACTACAACGTTTTTCTCAGCGGTTGTGTCGTATTAACTGTACTTTGAAACTAACAAAAGGATGTGTTTTCTTCTCGGTACCGAGTGTCATATATCTCTCTTATCGAAAAGAAGAAAACTTTCAGTACATTGAGCTCTTGTGAAAAGATCACAGACGTGCCATTTGATCTGATGTGGAAGGAAGCATAAAACAGACATGCTTTTGTATAGATAAAATATATTTAGGTAAGAGACAATTTAATTTGGAAGCCTGAATCCTATTTTATCCTACATCTGGTTTCCATAACAATTCGTCCAAAGAACGCAACCATGCTCCTGTGAAACCAACCAATATACCCTTATAGGCATCGTTGTCCTTGGTGAACGCATACACCGTTCGTGTTTGCTTTCAGCTTGAGACAGCGTGAGACAGCGTGAGACAGCTTGTGTCAACTTGACGCTGATTTGTTTTAATCTTGGTTTTTCTATCTATCTGAGATCAAACGCTCTCATTAAGTATTCGTAGGAGCTTAAGTGTTTTCAGATTCCACATGCATGTTTTAATTAAGCAAATCGAGGCCACATGCGTGTGTGCATAGGTCTCCGTCGACATCCATACACATATAGACACTCCATCTCCATCACTTTGAAACAATGACAAGTATTCGAAAAAAGTTCCCCGGCATTGTGGGTTAGTTCTCCAAACAGGCGATACTTTCCTGCTTGTGTAAATGGTGTGTCAAATGAGATTTGTCTTCAAGAACTAAGCACCAACTTAAACTGTATGTGTTCGGATCGACCTTCCGTCTGGTATATATACAATAGAGCGCCTCCTTTGGTTAACTGGTATCCAGTTTCAGTTGAATGACTCTCGCTGCCTGGACGGTGTATGTTCCTAGGGTTCGTCGGGAAAATAGGTACAATAATGTAGAAGTGTCATTAAGCTATTATTAATGTTACACATTCTAGCATTGTAGAGGCTGGAATTGTCTCATTCAGAACATCCTACCTATACAATAGCGTCCAGACACTGTTTTGGTATTTCCCACCTCCATGGACAGCCACATGCAAGCACATTTAGGCGTTTCGGCGTATTTATCGGCAGAGTGCAATTTTACAGCGGGAGAAACAAATTGTACCGATGTAGGGGGTAACACTCTGTTTGCGACATCAGGGAAGAATTATTGCATCAGCAAGACCTAACTACCACATACAAATATAGTGCTTCAGCCATTTATTTAACACTTATTGCTAAAAATCCTTTGCTACTCCTGTTCCGATAGCATGGATCGCCACTCATGCTGTCTCCCACTTACTTATCCTGGCCGAGCTTATCATGTACTAGTCGCCGTAATAAATCTGGAAGATATTGCTGACTGGGGAGGAAAGGCAACATCCGAGATGTTTTCGTCTGTGTTGTTATCACGTCCGTGTTGTCAAAGTATGACATGCCTGAATCATCAGTTGGGACCAGACCCAATAGTGAACACAGACATTTGATGGCACAACTGGTAGCTCCTGAACCCGTTTAGAGCGCACAGGTCACCGATCAGATCGCGGAGAGTAACGGGATGGGTGATCGCGTTCGGCAGCTTGACACCTGAGAGTTTCTAGGACTTCAGTCCTGCCCAACACTGAAGCACATGTACCACATGAAGTGTCTCCTTAGGTAAAGATATGCTTCTCTTCACCCAGCAGTAAATGGGTAGCCGGTAGGAGGTGATGGCAAGGTGAAAGTTAAAATTCTAGCAACTCATAGGATGCTTTAGTTGTACACCCCAAAAGAAGAACACCGAGACCTACACTTACTGTCACCGTGCGTAGTTGTAAACTTAACGTCACAGTTTGCATAACAGAAACAATATGTAGGTTGTCTAAAACATAATTCAGAAAACAACAATTAACACGGGTTTTACAGCGACAATGTGTTCGGCATACATGCTGGATGTTCTCAACAAAATGTGGTATAAATTAGCTCAACTGTTTGGAAGCAATGACCTAAAATTGTCCTGTCTCAAAGAAAATCCCAGCCCCAAGAATATTAAATGGCCAGTCTCTAACAAAGCTGCGGAATCATGGGGTCATCTTCACCCAGTGTAGTCATCTTTAATCACAGATGCGGGTGATGGTGACGTTGTCGGTCTCGACCTCCCTTGGGGAATTAATATAATGATTTCCGCCAGAAATATAGATCCCCGCTGGCCCATAGCAAGAGTATCTGGGTCTAGCCATTTCTAAAGATGGATATTTTCTCATCTTAAGGGGGATTATTTGTACTATTGATATGAGATGGAAATACGTCTCTGTTGATGACAGATGCACTGACACTTTAAATAAAAATATATTTTCTCTACTTTCACAGCTAATAATCAAATAATGAATATTCATTACGTGTATGCAATTTTAGCCACCTCCTTTACATGGTAAAATACAACCTGTACACCGAAACCACCTGAAATGAGCTTTATTAGCTGTTCATGGTGATTTACTGCAGCAGTGTCATGGAATTTGTGTGTGTCGAGATTTACTTCGTTCTAGAATATACAAGCCCAACTGACGGACATGCCCCATTTGATCAAATGGTGCATCAGATCCATGTACACTGTAACCACATGTACAATTCACATCCTTCAAAACGTACACTGTCAGGAACATGAATGAACTCACGAAAACACGTGAGATGTAATGTTAATTATAAACACAAAGTTTTGCTTTAGGCAGTATATGTAACTGGTACTTTCGAGTCGACTTGCGAAATTGCTGTGCATAGCGTTGAATCACACTCTGCTGTGGACCGTTGATCATGTTATCAACCACTGTGATCCAGACCTGAATTTTAACCGATCGTTGTTGTATAGAACCGATTTGTTTAACTGAATTCACGCTGTCTCATTCGTCGGAGTTATTTTAAACTCATGTACTTAACTATATTCTTTATGGTTTTAAGCCTACTATCAGCTATTTATCTTGTAAAGATGAAATAGGGCGTATGTATGCCATCTCTGCTGGAGAAACGTATCTACTTGTCTACTTTCTGCCATGATCGCTAGTTAAAGGGGAGCTGTGCCCCCTGGTTTGATGCCCACTTCTGTCTGGGTCTACATATTGTAAAGAGTCACTCGTGTCAAAATCCCTCACTGTCTCTGTGTCATTAAATAATTTTTTTAAAAGTAAACTGGCATAATTATGTTCAAAATAACCTTCGGTGTCCAGAAAAACAACGTGGGTTCTGATTGATTGCTTATGTATAATGACTGCAACGGACCCGGAGTATAATCTTCCTTTCAGGCACACGTGAAACTACCTGCAGCAACATGAAACTATAGCGACAAAATCCTTATCCAACAGAAATCTTTGCTTAAAGCAGAGTCGTTTGTACGATTTCGACTATATCATGAGCATGTGTTTATGAATCACTATCAAACAGTAATGATACCAGGTGTTCGCGTAAACGTGAGCGTATCCTGCAACACCGGTGCCACCCGTCAGAAATACATGCAAAGGTAAGTCAATTGTTAGCCCGAAAAACTTCATTTGGAAATGTACTCGTGGAAAAGAACCGTCAAAACATCCGTAACATGGCCCAAAACTTTCACAAAATCACAGACCGAATGAGTACAATTTAGCATTCAAACGCCATGTATACACTGAAGTAAAGCACCATGCGTCTCTGGCTGCCAAGCCTCAGTATTTGTGGCTACAATGACAATCTGATAGAGTTCAAGTAATGACGGTTGCATATTAACTGTCGAGAGGATGAGCTTCTGAAAGAGTTTAAATGAAATGTTCAAGTGAAACGGGAGGCGATACTGTATTATGTATATAAATACATATCTCATCTACTGCCGTTGGTGATTTGGCGAGTCAACTTGGTTGATTGATTGACTTGATTGATGTGGGCCATTGCCAGGCCTACAGACGGTTTATGCCTTTTTTAATAAAAGTTCATCAGTTCAAGTTGTTTGTATTTTAAATTTGTACTAGTTTAATACACAGTGAACTACGGTTATAAAGATCTAAAAGGGACCACTCATTTTAGTTCGTAATAACCGTCGTGCGTTATAAGCATGTATACAGCTTATATACAATAAATGACCGTGACTACAAATAAGTTCGTTATATTGGTCAGTTCGTTATTAGCGTGTTCGTTATAAACGTAGGTTACTGTATTCTAAAAACTTGCATTTGTTCGATAATCATTGTAATCCTGTAAAATGCAATGCATGTCGGTTCTCCGACAATTAAAACGCATTCAACAGACAAAACTATAACAAAGACAAGATGAGATACCGACTTGGGTTTACGACATGCTGTCTACAGATCTGGGGCGGAGGGGCAGCCTAGTGGTTAAAGCGTCTGCTCGTCACGCCGAAGGCCCGGGTTCGATTCCCCACATGGGTGCAATGTGTGAAGCCCATTTCTGGTTTTTCCAAGCCGTGGTGGAATATTGTTAAAAGCGGCATAAAACTCTATTGAGCTGATTACTACTGAGAACTGTAGAAGTAAAATACCTGAGGGAAGATGACTACCGCAAGTCTTCAATGGTTGTGATGTTGCAGAAGTCCCACGTTGTGGCAGCAACGCCTCGCATCAACAGCTTTACACGGGTAGTGTACAAGTGAGATACACTCGGTTTTACCTACAAACAGAGAAATAAGTGTTAAGTTGCAATCGCTATATTTCAAGTTTATTTCTGATGATTGTTAGTGACAGTAAATTAGAGTAATCTCCCTTAATTGTTTACAGTCCATGCTCCGTCCCAGCGCTTGCACATGAGTTACCATCCTGGCATCGTGTGGTCTGCTGTAAGGAGCTTGTCAGCAGTAACTGTTGTCGATTCACTGTCGGGACTGACTACCTCATTTAAGATGCTCAGCGTGGAAACAGTTTCTAGCTATACCTATCTAAGTGCGAGACCTGAGCGATTCGAGGCCTTCCACAACGTCTTATGTAGGTTCTTGTCAAGTGTGGACGGCATACCTATCTTAAGTGCTGACCTGTCTGCCTGCTTCAAAATGTCTTCCTGGACCCATAAATGGAGCACGTGCTAAACGCGAGACATCCATGTGATGGACAATTATGCAATGACCTGTATAATATGGCACGTTATTTATTATTGTTGCCACATGTTTCACCATCTATTGCATTTTATGAGCGTAAACCTAGTCGTGTGTGTTTCGATATTAATTGTTGATTATTCAATGATATTTTGTGGTCATTTACTGATTTCACGATTAAGTTGTATGATATTTCTGGGTTAACCTTAACTTTTCAAGTACGGAGTTATGCAACTCGTAACCTGAAGTATAAGTCATATTTTTTCAGTTAAAGCAGTCCTAAGTTTGGAAAGCGAAATAACTCTTTTATGAATGTGTCGAGACACATTTGAAAATACCAGTAGGGTTTGAATGGAGCGTTGCAAACGAAGTATGCCGAAGGATGAACACAATTACATGATGGGACCGGATGCCCAAGCTACTGCATCGTGAAATAATTTAGTAAATTGTATCAGATGAACGCTGTGATTGGCAGCTGCGATCTTCCCGTCTGATGCTTCGGGGGACATTCTGCATGAGTCTTACTTAAATCTAATCAACAATCAAAAGGTGAAAATAATAACACACATAAACAGTATGGCCTCATTAGCATTATCGAAATGTATGCGAGAGGCTGCAAAGGGTTATTAAAGTTTCCCAATACAAGACACACTTGAGGCTAACAGTGTTTGACATTTGCCATTGAATATCTCCGGACCTTTGAAGGGCGAATGGCATGGCCACGTGGCTTCCTGGAAACCGAAGAACTGAACACTGGCTTCAAAGACACCGATAATAAGTTCAACTCGTTAGTGTAAAAGTAGCTGAAAGGAAAATTTACTCGTCCTGGTTTAACAATGTATTGCCTGGTCAGTAACGATTTGTTGTCTGTTGTTGAACGCCGCATATTCCTGCTATATGACGGCAGTCAGGAAATAATAGCTTCTGGACCAGACAATCAAGTTATTGTCACCTTGAGCATCGACACACGCAATAAGAACACGATGACATGCAGTCAACCAAGTTTCAGTGACGGAAACTAATTAAAAGATCCATTTTAATGCCTCTTGCCTCTTACGACAAACATAGTGTGTTCGAGGCCTATGTTCTTACAAGGACTCTCTACGAGGCACAGGAGGCTTGGCCATAGGAGAGTGTCATCACTTACCTTCAATGATCCATTCATATAAGTCACCGCTATTTTGCCTATACGCGAACATCACTGTTTCGAATCGAGACTGTTTAGTATCGTGCGTGGTGCCGACGTATTGAATCTTGCGCGGTGCCGACGTATTGAATCTTGCGCGGTGCCGACGCATTGAATCATCAGTATGTAGTAGAGCTGCGGCGTATGGTTTGAAAGACCTCTATATAACAACAGTCGGTAGTTGTTTACATTGTAGTGTGTCACAGTTCATGGACCTCAAACACAATCACATTACCAACAAATTGCCTTTCAAATTGAAATTTACCAAATCGACCCAAGAGATTGGCTGACTTTGATATCTTTAAACTGATGTTGACCGACAGAAGATTTACTTTGTGAAATATCAGACCTGCACACACCATAAGCGCATCTCAATAATCCTTTGTAATAAATGCGATTTGGCAAGAAGTCTACCGAACTTATGAGTGTGCATAGAGCCCCTTGCTTCAGTTTAACCCGCTCCGATGGATCACGTCTAGACGCAATGGGAGCTCAGTCCAACACCATAACTGCCTCATCAGAAATGTTAGATGTCATCCCATTGCACTTATTTAATCAACACGTGACTGGTTATAGAGCTGTGGTTGTTGGCAAAGAGGGCATGTCTACATAAGGTATAATTTTTTATATGGATAACAACTTCTTTAATACTGTAAAAAGCGACGTTTCGGTATGGATCCTTATACCGTTGTCAAGCAAGGACCTATACCGAAACGTCGCTTTTTACAGTATTAAAGAAGTTGTTATCCATAAAATTGTGTCTACCTTGTCATCCGTCAACTTCTAAGTAATGCCTATCAAACAATTCATGTTATATGTTATCAGAAACGGACGTTCAATACACTTGCACTCCATATGTATTTCTGTACAAAATACAATTGTGTACCTCCAACATTGCATATGTTTGATTAAGTTGGGGATATGATGATTGATGTTGATGTTTGGTACGGGGTACATGTACTTAAATGCGAAGTCACAACATCAAAGCAATATCTGTATCTGCGTGCCACCCTCTCGAAGGCGCTAACTGTTGATGGCACTGTCTCGTTGTATTACATGTAAGTTGCACACTGCGCATAACTGTATGGACTTGTGAAGATCTGGGTTAGAATAGGTCTTCAGCAACCCATGCGTCCCGAAAAAGGCGACAATCCCTGTCGTAAGCTTAAGAGGCGACTAACGGGACAGTATGGTCAGGCTCGCTGACTTGGTTGATGCATGTCATCTTATTCCAATTGCGTAGATCGATGCTCATGATATCAATCATTGGATTGTCTGGTCCAGACTCGATTATTTACAGACCGCCGTCATATAGCTGAAATGTTGCGGCGTTAAACAACAAATAAATAAAACAAAAGCATAACAGCATGTGCTTAATCATGATCAATATGCTTACACGAGCTCCGTGTATGTGATCTAGAAACTGTGTGGGTGTGAGCATCGGCCACATATTGGGAAAGGGCGTTGCAATTTCTATGATGACACTATTCAGGTCTGCACAGTGCACAGCGTCGTTGAATGACACTGGAACCAGTAAGTGTCTAATGAGTACAAGCATCCGACCATCAAGTAAAATCCTGTCATAGAATTATCATCACCTAAAGGTCAGGCTACTAGGTTACGGCGCTGCTGGGTGCCCACTGCCAGTCACTGTCACACACATAAAAGGCAGCACAGTGATTTAGGATCACCGCGTCTGGTGGCTTGAACTAAATACAGCTTTGTTAACTGATACAACAAATCCACAAATTCTATTTGATGTGAAATTTATCGTAGTGGTAAGCATCAAACAGCACACGATACCGTCTTTATATCGTACTTTTATATCTGCACCAAACACCAAGGTGTACCTGAAAACGGTTGCGTGTGTAAGCCATGGAAACCTTCTGGTAGAAACGCCGTCTGGGACTTTGGAGCTTGACAGATAATACTAAATGTGCGATAAACAGTCGTGGCACTGAAGCCTTTCTGTACCGAATATGAAGGGTTATTCTGGCTGACCTCGTTGCTGTGATGTTCTAAAATCACTTCATTTCTACACAACGAAGCAATTACGCCATTTTCAGGTTTATCTCATCCACCGATAAGATCAGATCACAGCTGTGTCAGCAGATAAATGTCAAACCAAGAAATATCAGCACATGTCACCATCTGTTCCTGTTTTGACGCAAAGTCCATGAGTTATACAATTCTGAAAATTCAGTCGCACTAAATTGCAGTATTACTTGCCAATAATTCTGTGTGAAATTGAAAGGCAGTAACGATCATAACCAACTGAATCAACATATGAATTGTTATTGCGATTATACGCATTTCTAACTGTCTTAAAATATTCGCTTGTCGATGATAGTTGAGTTGTTCAATAAAACGTCAAGAGAGGCATTAAAGCCTACTATAGCCGAAATGCACTGAACACAATTACGTCTTGCTGTGCCATTGTTATTGTAGCGTTTATTGCATAAATATATTCGGACACTGTGAGATAATAAATTACTAAAATATGAGAGTACAACTGCAATCGTTAAGCATACAGACGAAAGCACCTCATTAAATGCATATCATGTCCGGTTCTTCGTGTAAGGGTTCAGCTCGGTAAATGTTCGTTCACTTACCTAAAAAGACCTGGTTTGAATCCACAATTTAAATCCTTCTTTGTGATTCTTGTTTTGTCTACGTACGACCTGGTCATTGAACAAAGTAATGCAAGTCCACTGACTGAGTCATCTTTGATATTCCACTGCATTAATCTGCCACACAGTCGTCATCAATCAAGCAAACAATGAAACATGTGTTTGCTTTTACTGAAAGGCCATAGGCTAATAGCATACATTTCAGTGGTGGCGTTTGGGTACAGACTACATTCTGTCCTGTTTCACATGACCAACACAGATAAGTTGTATAATATACAGAGTATCTTGTTATTGATGTCATAAATGTACACAAGTTGGACTTTCAAATGATATATGTACGACTTATTGTATCGTATTTGGGGTAAGTCAGAATGACATTTTATCTTCGAGACCTTCCTTGCGCGTCTTAATATGACTGCAAAAAAAGTCAAACGCGGTGTTACGTTACGTGTTGCTTACACACATATCACTCATTCAGTCCATGCGACGTGTGGTCATCCATCTGGTTATGTGTCGGACTATGTATGAAAGACGTCCACGCTTCCATTGCACAATTCCGCTATTCCTTGTCTTAAGAGGCGACTAACGGGAATGGCTGGTCAGGCTCGCTAACTTGGTTGATGCATGTCATCGATCCCAATTGCGTGGATCGATGCTCATGATATCCATCACTGGATTGCCTGGTCCAGACTCGATTATTTCCAGACCGCCGTCATATAGCTGGAATATTGCTGAGTGTGGCGTTAAACAACAAACCATCCAACCA